TGGGTTTTAATTAGAAGATTATGTCTATCGTCTCGATTTTTTGGAACTATGATGCCTTCCTCGAATGGAGCTGACCCGCGTTTCTGCGTTGGCTCAACGGCCCCCCAAAATCAGTGGCATCATTTCTGGACGATGACTTAGCATCGAGACAGCTGATCATCTTGTGGAGTGTAAACGTATTGGTGCTCTTCATATGATTCAGGTGGGACATCATGAATCAGCGGTGACGGACTTTCTATAAACTTTGCCGTAGAGTGAGTAAAAGGATAGGACGGGACTGAAGATTTGACGGGAATAAAGTTTTCGGGGAGGCGAGAATGCCTTCTTATGGGAAGCGCGATGATCTTGCGATCCAATTCGCGGTTCCAGACGACTTTGGCCGCCTTTGGAGCGACTGGTGGAGGTGGCTTGTCCGTAGAAGAGGTGGAAAGATCGAATTCAAATATACGTCCAAGAGAAATCTGTGTCCTCATCCACTCCTCTTCTTCGTCTTCGTCGGACGAATCTTCAAAGTTTGCTGGTCGCAATTGACCAACCATGGATTGAGGGTTGGGGGTCTTGAAGGTGGAAGATTCCAGAATAGGATGGGTCTCGTCGATTTTATGGTTATTATTCTCTTTCGGGTCAAGAGAATGAGAAGGAGGGGAATACTTGTCGTTGGTTGTATCAGCCTGGACATTGTGGCCTGAGGACTTGAATGGCTGGTGGCGAAGTGTAGCGTTAGCGAGGGGAATGATTTGTGAGAGGTGATACTAAACACTAACCGGGCTTGGGGGATGCAGTCCGCTAGCTGTTGGCCGGGCATTTGGCACTTTCGTTGAGTCACAGGGTAAGGGAACCTCAGAGTAACCGTGATAGTTATCCTCCATTTCAACGTCTTCATCCTTTTCATAAGTGAATGTGTTGGGGACCTGTTGTAGGAATCCAATCGGTTGGCCAAAGAAGGGCTGTGGATGTGAGAGAGCAGTGTGATAAAGGGGAAGATCATTTGTGCCCCCTCCCTGAGTATTATTATCATCTACTGATCTAAAGGGTACGAAATGAAGGGATTGATGGAGATGAGATGACGCGGGGATCATGGCTGGCACAAGACTCAGCGCTGCACAAAGAGGCTAGTTTTCAACTCACGCGTTCTAGACATAGAGAAATGGTCCATGATAAAAATAGTGTCGATTAGAATGACGAGAGTGGTTGTAATTCGTGGTGAGGAGCAAGGTGAGAGGATTGCGCCCTTTAAATAAGAGAGGCGAAGAGTCACGTGAGCTTTCCAGCCATAGGCGGGACGATTGTGGCGATAGTAAGCTAATTAAACGAGGATATAGTCCTCGTTTGTCATAATCTTTCACTGTAAACGTGATACCAAGTTTTGCATCTGATCGTGAATGTGAAGCCTCTGGCCCAAGGTGTTCAAGCCGACAATGGGCTTATTCGCTCATAGCATTAGAATCGCCAGAGCTTGATGCAGTTGTTCTGCGGCCTGCAACTCCGCGCCCTCTCCCTCGTCCTCTTCCACGACCCCTTTTAGCGACGGGAGGATTGACAATGATGGTTGGGAATGGAGTGGCGCTTGTAATTTCCGAGTCATTGTCATCATCTCCTACCAAGACTCTTCCAGCGGGTCTTCCACGACCCCGTGGCTTCCTACCCGCTCCTCGTCTCGCACCTCCTCGTGCGCGGCGCCGCCCATCGCCATCTCGGACTTCAACATCAGGATCCTTCTCACCAGTTACTTCTCCTCTATTATCGTTATCATCTTGGAAGAATTGCCCCTTTCCGAAATGACGATCTTCCTTTCGAACGTCTTTCATATACTCGTCATCACCCTCTTCTTCGATTTCCTCCCCATCTCGTATTCTTTTCTCTTCTTGTTCCAACCATTCCTTGAGGTTGACTGGGAAACCTTCTTCTCCCATCACCACACTGGGAGCACCATGTAGATACCGCAATTTACTGCGAATATTGGCGACCATATTTCTCAGCCTGGGAGCCTCATTTTCATTGTCCCACTTTTTATCCCAGACCTTGTGTAGTTTATAGTCTGGGGCAAAATAGCTGTAGTAAGGTCCACGGGGAAGTTGGTCTGGGATGTCTGTTCCTGTGAGAACAGCAGTTTCGTAGGTCCAACAACGCGCAACATTGTCAATGGTATAACCCCCACCGCCCAAGATCAAGAGTGGTAGGTTGAAATTTTTGATAAAGCGGACGCAATCTCCGTGAGCCTTGATACTGAGATTGAAACATCCAAGTTTGTCGCATCCCAGAGAATCTGCCCCACATTGTAGAACGATAGATGATGGTTTGAACATGGTAATTATGTCGCCAATGACTTCTCGAAAGATGGAAAGATAAGCGGCATCGTCGATCCCATCTTCCAGGGGAATATTTGCACAAAAATACTTCCCTTGTCCAGAACCTATATCTTCAAGTTTACCAGTACCGGGAAAGAAGCTTCCGTTGTACTTATGGAGCGACACGGTAAAAACCCGGTTCGAATGATAAAAAGCCTGCTCCACTCCGTCTCCATGATGGATGTCGATGTCGATATATAGCACTCGTGGGTGATAGCGGAGCATCTCTAGAATCGCCAAGACGATATCATTGACATAGCAGAACCCGCTGGGCTCGGCCTTCTTTGCGTGGTGCAACCCTCCTGACCAGTTGATTGCGATATCAGATTGGCCAGAAACGAGGGATCGTGCTCCTGCCAGTGATGCACCCGTATACTGACAAAAGAAGTCGTTCATACCACCAAATACCGGGCAATCTTCTGTAAAGATGGCTTGTTCGAACGGATTGCTATTGGTGATATTCCAATCACCAGCACTTTTTCGTTGCAAGTGCGATACCGTGCCACCCTCTCTTCGACGGGACAGTGGTGATGTTGCTGGTGGCTCTACGGCTGCACGAGTCTTTACTTCCAACAAATTGAGGTATTTAGGATCATGATACATCTCTAACTCTTCACGACTCGCTGGTCGGGGATCCAGGAATAAATCCAGGTGTCGATGTAGCCCATATCCCAACACGAGGGAGTTGGTAAGTGTGAGACGATGTGGTTTCATGGGGTGTTTTCTCTATTTATCAGCGGAAATGATTAGGTGGTTATTGAGGATCAAAGATTGATTTGGGGTTAGGTCTTTGCATAGAACAGAGTGGTGTATACGTACGCCATAGTGATAATCGCCAACACCTTTTGGAAAGTAATACGATACTATGGGTCTTGAATGAGGCTACCAAGATAAATTGGAATTGAGGATTTTTTGTGATGGAGATCCCGATAGGAAAGCCTTTAGTTGAATGTAATGGAGGATATACTAATCACACTTACGTTGATTCTCTCCTGATGCCAGGCAGCAAATTCTGCAGCTGCATCATCGAAATGTGAAGTAGAAGAGAACGTAGTCGTCGACGACATGGCTGGGATTCAAACTGTGCGAGTACAGTCCGCTTATAGGGACTTGGTCAGGAATTCTAGGTCGGCGGTTGCGAAAGCTGGTCAATGAATACAGTGTACAGTGAGCTGGTGGTAGAATAAACGATCGGTTCGGTATTGGGTCAGGGGTCAAATGGTTTGTTTTCAAATCCATCTGCCTC